TGCGGGCTCCTGTAAGTTTTTTTCAATAGATTTACCCTTTTCTTGACGCATCAATTTTATTTTTTCAATATAATGATCCCAATCCTTCGGTGTTGTCATGAACTTATTTCTCATATTAATTATACCGGCAAATGATATAGGGTGTGGATAAATTTTTAGAAATCGTGGAAATAGAAATAGTTTTTTAAGCACTTGATGCGTTGCGAATACACCATCAGCACAATAAGCTACAAGTTTTTGAAAGACCTCGGGTCTTACTATTTGATCTAAAGAATTATTAACAAAATAATTTTTCGAACATTTGTCTAATTCTCCTTGACAATAAAATCTGTAAATATTTCGAAGGTTGTTTATAGAACTAGTATCATAAATAGATAGAAAATCCTTAAGTCGTTCCTTATCTCCTTCTTTAGTAGCCTTATTATATTTGATCCAAAAAGAGCGATGTTGAGTGCAAAGTCCATTTACTGCTACAAGTAAAGACATGTTATCTATATAACTATGACAAGGTCTGTCGTAATGATATTCTCTTATTTGTGCACGGTCAAAACCAACATTATGCCCAACTACGAATCGGTCTCTACCTATATTTCCCATAGGAATCAAGCAACCCATACCACATTTTTTGATTACGATCTTCCCGTCTTGCATTTTACGTTTTAACTTATATTTTTCATCAACTGTCTCGCAGGTTTTCATAATTTCATATTCGCTGTTACATTTCTCTGAGTAATTTACTAATGAGCCGTTAGCCGCTTCTCCATATTTAGTAAGTCGTGGCGAAATCCAGGCATACCACGCTTTTGACGAAGCAGCACATGCTATTAACGTGTAATCACTGTCATCGAGTAAGGTTTCTACATCAAAACATAAAATGTCGTCTTCGGGAAATTCTACAGATTCGGGTTGTTTACCTTTTTCATAACGTGTCCACCCAGACCTAAATTTCCAAGTTTTCTCGGACGGGACATCAGGAAGTTCGGAACTAGAGAATTCTTTTGCCAACTCTCTACAAGAACGTGTTTGCTTTTCACCAATATTCCAAAAATATTCGGATATTGTATTTCCACACAATTTTGGTAGTTGAAAGGGAGTCAGAGGCGAAAACTTTTCAGTTTCTTTGCCCAACAATCCATGTTGAGTCAAATGATTTAGTATAATGCAGATCCGTTTTTCTGATGGATACATCCAATTATTACGCGGAAAAATTTGCTTGTAAAGCCAATTCGGTATCATTTCTATACAAGCAACTGCAATTTTTCCGAAAAGCGAGATATCTTTGTATAGATCGTTGAGTGGCTTGTCCACGTGATTTTTGTGAGGATAGTGAATACTTCCATTAACGTTAATATTAACGTATCATGGAATAAAAGTTTTTTTTTTTGAATTTTTGCCGGTTAATGCAGTAAAGATCAAATCCATCAGTAACCTAGAAAATGCGCGGTTGATCCTCGATTTTGATTGGCCAACGGCTGTGATCGACAAAATTCTGGCCCGCATTATACATAAGACAAATTTATAGCTGTTCTCATAAATTCTGAGACAACTGATAAAAATTGATCGGCCGAATTCGAGTTCGGTGATATCAGATTACTGTAATGCCGAAAATCCAATGCCGATAACACCGAATCAAAAACTTATCGAATTTATCAAATTTTTATCAGTTGTCCCAGAATTTATGAGAACAGCTGTAATATATTGGTTTTCATAACATGAAAAATTTTGAACAGACCCGGCCGGCCGGCTTTTTTTTTTTTTACAGCTGTTTTCATAATTCCTGGGACACTTGTAAAAAATTAGCCGAATGATTTTTCGGCCGATTCGGGTAAGTTATTATTTCGGCATAATAGATTCAGGTACGTACGTACGTACGTACGTACATAATCTATTGTGCCGAAATAATAAATTAGCCGGATCGGCTGAAAAATCACATATTTTGACCGGCCGAGTTATGAAAACCAATTACAGCTGTCTCATAAATTTTGGAACATCTGGTAAAAAATTGACCGAACGATTCGATAAGTTATTGATTTCGGCATGATCAGTGTAACGTTTATTATTTACGTAGATAGATACGTATCAGTCGATCGAGATGTCACACCTGATTTTTTATCATATGATTTTCATAAATTACACAAATCGACGAAATCACGTTTT